AATATGTGTGCCATTCCCGTCTTATTCATAGTTTATGTTGGTTTTTACCACCAAACAATCAAATCGTTCAAAATTAACAAGTATATAAAGGCAGCAATACAAATATATTTATTTATTGTAGGAAATGACAGTTTGATGAGTCAAAAAAGTAATCAACTTTAACTGTGGGTGTAAGTAAAATCTTGTAAAAAATTACTTTTAGCATTAAAGGAAGGCTTATTTAAATGTCTGAGGAAATCTGAATCTGAAGTGACGTGTCGTGAGTCAGATTCACCTTCTACATCCGTACACATGTACATATGCTGATGTACATACACTGAGCAAATAAGACACATAAAATTTATTTTAGTTTGGCCGAGATTTGCAACCGAAAGGGACGACTTGAGCAGGAATAGCAATACTGCACATATGTATGTAATTTTTTGGAACATGGTCCTGCACTCATGCAAAAATACAACTCATTACAATTGAAAATAAGCATTTTCGGATGAAATTTTTCTAAAATATTTTGCCGAGCTTAATGCACCGTTTACATTATGCCAGTAGCATGCCAGTCCAGTGAGCAGGCCAGCGCTGGACTGGGACGACGACTGTCTACAGTATGCCAGTTGTTCAGAAGCCAGTGAAATGAAAAATATAGAGACAATGAACTAAAGTAAAATAACCCTACAGTACTGCTGGAGTCAATCGCTACTTTTGAACCGCTACTGCACCGACTCCTAGACAAGTAGCTACTCTAATAGCCCATAGTAGTGTACATGGTAGGTGCAGAGTCGAACCCAACCGCAGTATGGGGGAGCGTAAACTCCGTCAATTACCGACCGACTACTTGCAGTGTATTTCAGCGATTACTTTTACAAGGCAATGTACTAGGCAGTAGTCACCATCGGCTCTCTCTGCACTACCGGGAGTTACTAAAGTAATCACTTGCGTGATTCATAGGCGCCCTCTTTCGTAGTTTCTCGCTATTCTGTTATTAAAAGTAATTATTTATATTTGAGTTTTAATTGTTCGCTCAAAGGTAATTATTATTACTTGATTTTAATTTTTTCGATAAAAATGATTATTATGATTTTTATTTTTTCGCTCAAAGATAGCAATTATTATTGAGTTTGACTTTTTTTTACTTAAGAATAATGATCATTGAAAAAACTCAAATGCTATACCAGCGTTATTTCTGTCGTATCTATCCTTTTTAGAGGTAGTGACACCCTAATAAAAGGAGTAAGTCTCAAATTTTTGAGGTAAAAATTTCAGTAGGTTCCGTCTGCATGGCTTTTTCAATTTTATAAATAATCATATTTAAATGGAAAAATAAAACTCAATAATAATTTTTATCTCTGAGCGAACATATAAAATTCATAAAACAATCATTATTTGTGATCAAAAGAAATAAAAAACAAGTTATAATCATTTCCACTGAGCGAAAAAAATTTAAATCAATAATAATTACACAGGTTTACAAAAAAAAAAAGCTTATGCATATTAAACCAAACCTATGTATATATCCCTATGTTATTCGACACGCTGAATGCGAATCCGAAGTCCGTTAGTCTCCACCACGTCAGGTTCGTGGTCAGTTGAAGGTCAAGTAGGGAAAAAGACATTGAATAAACCTGAAAATTTATATACATAAGGTTTTACATTCGCTGAACCCGAACCCGAGGTCCGTTAACCTCCATAATGTCAGCTTCGAGGTCATTTGAAGGTCAAATAGGACATAAAATGTATTCAATAAAAATAAAAATAAATAAAAAATATTTTTGTTGTCACTGAAACCGATTATGGAGGTCCCTTGATTCCTCAAGGTCATCTGGAGGTCACGCCTAGGTTATCCCAAGGTCAAATTCCGATGAATTTTATTGAATTTTCAGGTTTATTCAATGAATTTTTCCCTACTTGACCTTCAAATGACCACGAACCTAACGCGATGGAGGCTAACGGACCTCGAATTCGCATTCAGCATGTCGAATAACATAGGGATATATAGGTTTGGTTTAATATGCACACACTTTTTTTTTTGTAAACCTGTGTTATTATTTTTGAGGGATAAAATAAAAATCATAAAATAATGATTAAATGCTGATTTGAATCATTTTACTCATAATACATACTCATTACCGTCCCTGCACAATACTAAATTTTTCTCTGACTACTGCATTAACAGACACCCTCTAAATCAATGTAAGGGGCACAATAGATCTTAGATAATATAGATTTCATTGATTACATTCATAGCCTAACAGTTGACTTTAGTATGCCCATTATAGACTCGTTGATACAATTTTTTATTGTTGTTGTGTTGTCTCGAGCAGGCAATTTTTCTACTCAAAAGTGATATTGGCCTTAAACACCCCGTTCTAGTACTTACCCACTAAATCCCAGTAGATACTAACCTAATGTCAGTTAATTAATGTCCTTTATAATCATTTTAAACTATTCCCAAGGATGTATTTTGATTACTTCAGCAGAGCTATTAAAAAATGTTATTGCCGAATGGAGGTTTCACCGATATACTTACATATATACGTATGTAAAATGGCCATGCTTCAAAAACGTAACACTCTTCAGTCCTACTCCGGCTATACTCTGCACAGCATTTTTGCTCAGGATACTTTTCCACGTACGGTCAAAATAAACTTTTTTTCGAATTGCCTTGCAAAAATACTTTAGACTCAGGAGTGAGTGTACAGTGAACTTTTTTTATTTGCTTATAAGGTGGTAGGTCTAATGCTATTATTTGTATTAACCCTTCGATTTGTGAGAAGGTCCCTAGGGACCTTTTCGTATTTCAGGTGCCTATATCTTTTTGTTCAATGCATTTTTGAAAAGAATTTATACATGTATTCCAAGAATAAATTAAGCTGAATCGTTTAAAATAAGTTTCGAAGGGATACGGGATCACGTTCGAGTGTTATTGAGATTTCAACATATATAGTACGGGGATTAGTGACAAGGTCCCTAGGGACCTTGTACAATTTTAGAAGAAATAACAAGTTACTTGTCTTCATGTTTTGATTTTTTTTTCACTTGTTCTTCAAATTATTTCATTCCTAATATATATGCAGGACGTTAATTTAATCAAAAGACAACATAAATACCAAAGAAGTTGCACATGTACAGTCGAAACATCGAGCAACTCTTTGTAGGTCCCTAAGGACCTTCTCACGAATCTAACGTTATCGGCACTGTCACTCATCGGAGGGTTAATTAACATATGCATTAGGGTGCTTTTTTTTTGCGACTATTTTTTTTTTTTCGGTCCCATCGTGAAATTTTGTTGGAAATACCCAAAAAAAAAATTCCCTGAAAGTTTGAGCCCTTAATATTAATTTTAAGTACTCGGCCAAGGCGTGTGAAGATTTTCCATTTAAAATACACGGGAACTTTGATTTTTTTTTTTAATTTTCTATAGCTCAGCGGCATTTAATGGTATCACCTTGTCCAAAATGGGGATTTTCTCAGCATTAAATGCTCTACAAAAGTGCCCACTGCGGCGAAGTCGTAACTCACACCGGCGAGGTAGTACGGGCCACTAAACCTGATTTTTTCATGAAATTTACGTTTTTTTCGCATTTATCTCGTAAACGACAAGAGCTATAGAAAAAATGTAAATGGGAAACTTGTAGGAAATTTTATTTCCTACAAAAAAGCTCATTAGCGCTTAATCGCTAACTTCAATACTGCTTGAGATATTTCAATTTTAAGTTTATGAAGTTTTAAATTTTTATCAAAAATCACGTAAAATTATAAAAAATATTGTTCTTTTATTATTTATCACTACTTTTTTAACTAAAAATAAAATAAAAAATAAGCAAAATAAAATAGTCTTGCCATTTTTTACCATTTAATGATGGCATAGTTAAATTACAGAGGAAATTGAAGTTGAAGCGTTTCCATGTCGCGAAAGTTGTAATATACGCATTTTCTGGACAAAGGTAAGTTAAGTAAATAGCCTAAAAAATTGGCATACGTATATATGTAAATCGTCGTTTAAAGAACCATGTATCGTGGTTCTGCAAAACCTTGTAACTGACTTCTCTGCTAATAATAAGATTAGCTCACCGGAACCAAAACATCGACATTTAGATATAAGAGATAGAGATAATTAGGGATAAAGGAGAGAACCGCTTTCTGTCCTAATTACTAACTATTTGAAAACCTCATTTATGTTTTTTTTTTAAATTTTACGTTATATATTATATTGCTTCTTTATCTAGTAATAAATAATTTTTTAGACGTATAAATCGGTCAAAAGTTGTAAAACTTCAAATTTGGAACGAAACAATTTAGAATTTTTCCTGAATTTCACCCAAATTGAGATTCATACAAAATTGCAGCTGACATTTTTTTCTACGGCCATATTGAGAAACATATCACAATGTTAAGCTGTAATGGTGACCAAATTACGAAATTTGGGACTCGTGGAAACGGACTATACTGAAAATGTGATACTTTTAACCAGGGACGTGAACCGGTTTTGAACCGGAAAACCGCTCTTTTCTATTAATTAACAGAACCATTAACCGAACCGAAATTTTCCACAAATGTTTGATCCGAACCGAAAACCGAACCACTTTCTATAAAGATTGAAAGGTTCGCTTCAACCAATTTTCAATAGATAAATGTACCCACTTTTTTTCTTTTTGGTAAAACCACCCATCATGTTTGTTTACCATGTGACCCTTAACCTTGCGCGTTGTTGCACTTGACACTTGACACTTGAACTTGCGCATAATTTTTTTGTTTTTCGAACCGTTGAACCGAACCGAAACCCCGGTTCAAAGACCAAAAAACCGCTTTGACGAACCAATCCAAAAGTGCAAAAACGGTTCGACCCGCTGAAACGAACCAAACAAATTTTTCATCCGGTTCACGTCCCTGCTTTTAACACACAAAAACGTTAGCGTATGATTTTTTTCTTCATCTTCTGTTGTAATGTAACTACAAGAATCTACTTTTAATTTTTTTCACACTGTTTTCATTTATTAACTTTTTACCTTTTAATTTCTTGGACTTCTCTAGCGTGACCACCACTTTTCCACTCACAATTTGGCCAGTAAAATAGGTGCCAAATTCATTTTGATCAAACATAATAATGCAATTATTAAACTTTTTGGTTTCACCCATTTTCACACAAATGTATTATTAAACTTTGACACGAACCGAAACTTTCTTTTTGTATTCGTATTTTTATTTTTCGTTAAAATCGTATATTTTCGCGCTCGTTAAAATTTCTCAGCTCGCGAATGGCTAACTTCATTTCTTATGGGACCATTTTTTATTTAAATAATTTGAACTTTCTACTTCAATGCGAAGAGTGCCTACGTACAACCGTACGCGAGCTGCAATATCAGTGGACTAATGTCACACCATTTTGTAAGACTCATACAGGTGGCAGCGCAGTTCCACCGCAATGGACAAACAAGCCAGGTGAGCAGGTGCTCACAGTGCGGTGATCGCTCTCAGGCGAGTGTGTGCGTGGGCCACATAGTGAAATTGTTGTTGCAACTCTTATTTGAGTAGATTTGTATGTTGATGCATATGTACTTATATGGTATAACCTATGGCGCATTTTGTTAATTTTTTGTTATTTTTTTCGTTGCTTTTATCGGTTGACTGACTTACTGGCCAAGATAACAAAGTAAATTCTTTGGCTTTTGTTTTAATCTCAAATGGCTCACTGTAGTTTCTCTTCACACAATTCGGTACATATGTAAATACTTTAAACTTGTATATACACATATACTTGTACATATGTACATATGTATGTATGTTAGACCGTACCACTTTGCACTTACATTTTTCTTCATATCGATGGCTGAGTGGAAGATCGACCTATCTCAGCAGCTATAGGGAGATAAGATGTTTTTCAATAAAATTCTGAAATAGCGCATTCTTCAAAAGTATTCCGAGATAGAGCGTTTTCGAACTGGCTGCCAAGATAGTTCGATCTTCCACTCAGCCATCGATATGAGGAAAAAATGTAAGCGAATCCTACGTTCGGCATTTTTTTTCGAAATTGTCTCGCAAAAATATTTTCCAATCTGGGGTGAACTATACGGCAAACTCTAATGTACATACGTCATATACATGTAGATGCATATGCAGGGTTGCCACTGACGAAAAAAATACTTACATCCACTTGAAAAAAATCTACTAAATTTAAAAAATATGTACCAATAATTTTTTTTTTATTTAGTTTCATAAAAACTATAGTTTTGCTCTATCGCTTCCACCAAAAGCAAAAGCTATGAAACTAAAAGAAACAACGAAACTATCATTTGGAGTTATTATGAAAAAATTTAGTATTTTTTTTTTTACATACAAAGTTTTTCAACTAACAAATTTTGTATCACTATTTTTTTGGTATAATAATAAGTATGGATTGCACTTTAACCGATACAAATCAAGTATTCAATTAAAAGAGATTATATGCAGAACATTTTAAACGAAAAATGCTTTAAACGAACTATGTATAATGAGCTGACTGCATTCACTTTTAATTTACCTACTTTGCTTGCCTCATACATAGCTCTGCGGCTGCAATTTTAAAATTGATCCAATATAAAAGAGAAATAGACTTTCACTACAAACTGTTGAGAATATAGTGGGGCGTATTCATAGTCAAAACAAAGCCGACACTGAAGGTAGTTTCATCTTTTCGACATAATTTCCAACGAGTGTATGATATATATAATCAACGCTAATGATCGACAGTTAATAGTTTTAAATACATAAGTATATTTGTATTCAAGTTGCTCTCACTATATCTAAGATATTTTACTTCATGTACATACATATATATGTATGTGTATGAATGTGCAATACATGATTTCTTGGTTATTGACAATAATAAAAAGCAAAGATATGAAACCGAATAGCATTTTTTTAGTTTTTTCTAACTAGATACTTTGATACTTAAAAAAGAAATGCATGATATATTTGACCCATTAGTTCTTTTTTTTAAGATCAATTTTTTCGTGATGTCGCGGCAATACTGAACACCATGCGAAAGCTCTATGTACATACTAGGGATGCCAAAATATCAGGAAAATTGGGATCCCGGGATTTCGGGATATTTTTTAGGTAATCCCGGGATCCCGGGATTCAAATTGAGTCATCAATTGTATGAATATGAGTAAAAATTCAATATCTGAAAGCATTTAAACATACCATTAAATAAAACTATTTAAAATTTACGATAAACTGATTGTAAAACTCATATATCGCTAGCTTACAGTGAAAAGTAGCTAACTTCACTTTTAATGAAAAATCATAATTTGATAAGATAAATTAAAATAGCGTCGTTTCGAAAAGGGTAAAGGTCCTTGTTTTAGGTTTTCTGGTTTATATACAATGAAAGGAAAATTTGCTAAGGACAAAAAAAGCTCCGAAAATTCGATAAGTCCAAAAAAGTTCGAAATCTTTTAATAAATATCGAATCCCTCCGATTCGTATGGAGTTTTGCTTTGCTTTAAACAGGCAAAATGTTGTATTCCAAGTTTTGCGAAATACTTGAAGAAAATGGCTATACGAAGTTTTTTCCCCTCCTGTTCAATTTTTAAGTTGGGACTTAGCAACTTTGCACTCTACGCTAGCGATATTTATTAAATCAGACAAACTTTAAAGTAAAATTTTTTTTATTGTATTTAAAAAACCATGTGATTGAGGAACGTATACATCACAAATAATAATGTAAATACCAGGTACTTTTGAAAGCGACTATTAATAAAAAAAAAACATAAAACAAAAGTATACAAAAACAATTTCTCTAAACATGTTTATTCTACTCTATAGAGAAATGGCGAATGGAGAATTTTTTGCCATTTTTTTGCGCAATTGACTAGAAATTTTGAAGGTGTACGAGTCAAACGGATCTCAGAATCGGATACAGCGGGTCGAAATACATGTTGGTACACGTACCGCTTTTTTGCCGGTGTTGTTATTATTGCACTTAAAATGTTTTCGCAAGAGCAGCAAAGCATTCAAAACGGAGTCCTCTAAGCTTGACCTGCAGTTTTTACATACAAAACCTACTGATGAAAAACATATTTCGGTATCAACACTTTTAGGCTGAACTGTCAAAAGGTAGACATAATCCATTTGAAGATAATGACCCCTATCTCCTCCATTACAAAATATTTGAACTTTTTTTACCAGCACGTCGGTCAAATTATAAGTTTTTCGACTTGAGGAAGTTTTGAGTAGAATGATCCAAAAAATTATCTAACTTTTC